CACACCTGGCCCGTTGGATGTTCCCCACCCCTGGCCTATTGGAGAGAGAGCACTGCACAGGTCCTCAGTGGCCCTGTGCCCTTGCCAGCCCAGCCTGCTGAATGACCCCAGAAGTTGCATCTCCTCTATGTGACTCAGTTTCCCCACCTGTAATGCTACCGACCTCCTTCGCAAAATGCTTTAAAGTTCTGCTGGTGGCAGGAACCTGGCCCGTTGGATGTTCCCCACCCCTGGCCTATTGGAGAGAGAGCACTGCACAGGTCCTCAGTGGCCCTGTGCCCTTGCCAGCCCAGCCTGCTGAATGACCCCAGAAGTTGCATCTCCTCTATGTGACTCAGTTTCCCCACCTGTAATGCTACCGACCTCCTTCGCAAAATGCTTTAAAGTTCTGCTGGTGGCAGGAACTGCCTGAGAGCTGGGTGTTCAGATTTTGATTGTTTCCACTTTGGGTCTTGGCCCGTCCCCTGCCTCTCCCCCCTCCCTGTTAGTTTGTTGCAGCAGAGAAGCAAACGGGAGCCACCAGCTGGGTGAAAGATGCCACCCTACGGCATGGCGCCTGCGCACTGGGCCATGCAGGGTGCCTGCCTAGTACAGCCGGTGCACCATGCCTGACTCTCAGACACCCCTGTGGAGATTCTTTCAAGTGAACCATTTACCTCCATGGCCTTTTTCAGCTGCTTGGCATCAAACTGAGCCGGGGTCATCATCAGTCCCAGGACCAGCTTCGCCAAGCTCCCCGAGAGCTCGGATTTCAGATCGGCCATCAGATCCTGCAAAAGGGACGAGAGTCACCAGATTTAACTCTGTTCTCCTCCCACCCTCCACGCAGCCAGGGACAGAGGGACCCGTGACTACAGCGCTCCCTGCTGGCCAGCCAGAGGAAAGGTGCAGAACAGAGGAATAAGACAGGGGAGCAAAGAAATAGCCTGGGCAAATATTTCGGCTGACTACAGCACTCCCTGCTGGCCAGCCAGGGGAAAGGTGCAGAACAGAGGAATAAGAAATAGCCTGGGCAAATATTTCGGCTACCCAGTGCCTCAGTTTCCCCTCTGTAAAAAAAAGGATTCAATACTTCTGCCCTTTGGGTGGCATGAGGAGACAAGGGAGGGTGAAGCGCAGGTACGGAGGAGACGGAGAGATATGGAAATGGTGCATTTGGGCCCAAATTCTCAAGAGCCGTCTCTAATTATGGATGTCTCAGTTCTGGGATGCCCGGCCTGAGACCCCATGTCACAGGCAGAGCTCAGCGCTTGGAAGATTTGCCCCAGGCCCTGCCTCTGCTCTGCTCCCAGCCCTTCTCCCAAGCCCTCTCCCCCTCACGTGACACGACCCAGGGATTACCAGGGGGTCTGGCGGGGGTGGCAGCAAGGGTCAGAGCCCCCCCAGTCACCGAGGTGCTGGGAGCCGTGGGAAGGAGAGTGATCTTGGAAGATGCTCCGCTCCCCTGCCCATCTCCCAACTGGGTTGCTCCACAACCCGTTGCCATGGTGATTGCGGGTGGGAGGGGGAGCCTGACCCCTGCTGCTGGCCCCAGGCCCCCCAGGTCTTAGATACCCTCAATATGGGGAACCGTCCTGTTCATAGGATGGTTGGGGCAGCTGCCGTAGGGCCCCCCCAAAGCATGGGGCCTTGGGCCCCCATCCTGAACCGTCCTATGGACGGGACGGGTTCTGCCCCAGGTTGTCTAAAGCTAGCTACTCAAAACTCGAGGCATCTAAAAATGGGGCCATTTTGAAACCACGTTCCTTATTGGCAGGACCATTTGGGCACGAACGGGCAGAAGGGCTGTCCCTGAAGACCAGACTCCTTCCTGACTGGGATTTCTCCCACAGGAAAGGGAGAGATACTAAGAGGTGAGCTCCAACCAAGAGTCTCTTTTCCCCGCACAGCTTGGCCAGGCCTGGCAGAGAGAGACAGGATGGTCGCTGGGAACCAGAAGGTGAAA